TTTTTTTTTTTTAAACAGAACCTTATGGTTCCGGCTCCTTATCCATTCTGGGGAGCGTCAATCCGGTTCCTATTCCACCGGCAAGTCAGAAGGAAATACAATGGGTACTCACGCACGCTCCTCCCCCTTATGGTAGAAAGGCCCAAGGGACGGCATTGATTACTTCTCGCTGGAAGGATGTACCACCCCTTACCCCTGCCTAAGCTAGCCTGAGGTACCTGCTTCCGTCTTCAGTTGCTAGAAGGAAAATGTAGCCTGTATCTGACCCACATGGCCCCTGTACAGCTTGTTCCTCTCAGTTCCTTGACTGTCGAATTCACATGATATGCTAGAACTGCTGGTTCATCCGTCCGGTTCCTCTTTACTTTAATTGGGTGGCTAGCGTGTATTAAATTGCTTGGAAAGGACACCTCCTCGCCTGTTCCTCTCAGTCCCTTTGACTGTCTGATTCACGTTAGGTACTGGAAATGCTGACCTGTCCTTCCCTTTTAGGACTACCTATCCCTAGATTTTCCTCTTCTAGTTTCTGCTGTCTATGAATGTTTATAGCGCATAAACTATCTGGTTTAAACGGGTCTTTAACCAGTTCTACCAGGTGCTAAAACCCTAAACCCTATCCTATTTAGCTAGTTTGTCTGCTACGTGGTAGCTTCCAACCTTGCGGATTGTGACCCTTATCCTAGATTTTCTCTCTTAAGTAGCTGTTACTGCCTTTGTGGTAAATGCGTGTAGGGTGACAGTAGTAATAGAATGATGGGTTGGGTAGGGCATGCGTCTGTGGGTTTAAGATGGGGGTTTTGGGTTTCCATAGTGCTTAGGAGGGGGTTGCCGGTTTGGGTTTCCATAGTGCTTAGGAGGGGGTTGCCGTGTCTGGCGGGGGAGGTTCAGGACCAGTGTGGTGTATTGTAGGGTGAAAGGCTGGACGTGAGACAGTTGCAAGGGGGCTGATGGGATTGTACRAGATGATGCAGTGGTGTGTTTGCTTTTGTCGGAAGTGATGTCTGCAGAGGTTGGAGATTAGACATAACATCTGTTGACCAGGTCCGTAATTAGTTGTTGTTGTTATTGGAGATATTGGGGTATTCATATATGCCTTAATTGTGGTAGGCTGAGGTGGGTTAGGAGGAGCTAATTTGGATGTTGATTGAGTCTGGTGTGTTGTTCGTTGGTTCTGGATCTGGGTTGTTAGTCTGTGCTAGAGCATTCCACATTTTAAAGATTAGGCTTTTCCCCTTGATGATTGTTATATTGCCCTTGTCCAGATAGTCCTCCTCGAATTTGGTTTGAAATTCCTTGGCTTTGGGCTCGTTGGCTTTCATCTTTCTTTTGACTTTGTGCCATAGTACGCAGTATTCCGTTTCTTCTTGTTGTTTGAGGATACCCCATGCTTCTTTCACATGCATTGGTTGTTTGTCTATCGTTTCTTGACAGCGTTTCCTCCAAATTGACCATATTGTTGCCTTGCGTAGGATTTGGAATAGGTTGTTATGGAAAGGGGGGCCAATCTTCGAGGATTGTGAATCCTAATAATAGAAGGGTTGGGTTTGATGTGAGATTTGTGTCGGTAATTGAGGCCCAGATCTGAGTGATCCTGTCCCATATTGGTTGTATCTTGGGGCATAGTAGGAAGCA